CCCCCACCCACCCATCAAAAAAACTCCCCCCCCCCCCCCGTTTCCTTGTCATGGTATTGTGTGTGGGAAAGTCCTCAGGAATTTAATATATTTCTGTAGAAATGACTCTACAAATGCATAGATGCTGAGAGTGTGCTATGCTTTCAATAATTTTTTTGTTAATAGTAGGCCATCAATCTATTAAATTCTATATGATGGTTTTAAAAAACTTACAAAAAGAATGCTCTTAGATTCTAAGGGCTTTTCAATAGGGGAGCAGTCTAGATGAGACTGTTAAATTCTTGGGACCAGTAAAATGGCATACACGACAATAGTACCATATATATGGTTAATAAGAGGGAACTATTTGCATTGGGTTATTTGCTAAAAGGCTGTACAGTCTGTCATTTGCTATTACACAAAAAAAGAATTTGACCATCTTAGCAAGAAGATTGTAAGAATAGAACCTGATGCCAGCACTGAAATAATGCAGCATCTGGGCAGATTTAGTAGAACTATTCTTGACAAGATGTTTTCAAAAATTGTCATTTTAAAGGGTGGTTTTAAGCATAAGAACATAACAGCCATACTGGGTTAGACCAATGGTCCATCCAGCCCAATATCCTGTTTTGCTGACAGTGGCCAATACTAGATGCCCCAGAGGGAGGGAACATAACAGGTAATCCTCACATAATCCTTCCCCTGTCACCCACCTCCAGAGAAACAGAGGCTAGGGACACCATTCCTACCCATCCTAGCTAATAGCCATTGATGGACCTAATCTCCATGAATTTATCTATCTCTTTTTTGAACCCTGTTTAACTCCTAGCCTTCACCACATCCTCTGGCCAGGAGTTCCACAGGTTGACTGTGTACTGAGTAAAGAAAAACTTCCTTTTGTTTGTTTTAAACCCGCTGCCTAGTAATTTCATTTGGTGACCCCTAGTTCTTATATGGTGGGAATAAGTAAATAACTTTTCCTTATTCACTTTTTTTACACCAGCCATGATATTATAGACTTCGATTATATCCCCTCAAAGGGTGTGTCTAGACTACAAAGTTTTGTCGACAAAAGTGGACTTTTGTCGACAAAACTATACCTGCGTCTACACTACCGCTGAGTTCCGTCGACATAACAGAACTCAGACATAACAGAACTCAGCAGTTTTGTCTACGCTGGTAAACCTCATTTTACGAGGCATAACGCCTTCTGTCGACAGAGTTCTGTCGACAGAAGGTGTTATTCCATGTAGGGTTGTGTCTAGACTACAGGGTTTTGTCGACAGAACTGAATGTAGTGTAGACGCTCTTTGTCGACAGAAGCTTTGTCGACAGCATCTGTCGACAAAACTCTGTAGCTAGACGTACCCTTAGTCTCTTCTTTTTTAAGCTGAAAAATCCCAGACTTTTTCATCTCTCCTCATATAGCAGCCATTCCAAACCCCTAATAATTTTGTTGCCCTTTTCTGAATATTTTTCCAATGCCAAGATATCTTTTTGAGATGAGGCGAACACATCTGTATCCAGTATTCAAGATGTGGGCATACCATGGTTTTATATAGAGGCATTAGATATTTTCTCATTATCGGCAGTAATTGAATGGCCCTAATTCTATGGTCCACGTGACTATCTGACCAGCTGTGCATGAGCTCTGTCAGCTATAAATTGGAGCAGCAAACAGGTTGCTGTAACATGTACCAGCTGCCAGTGACCTTCCACATGACCATATCAGCACTCAAGGAATACTACATAGCCCTTTCCACCTGCTACTCCCCTATGCTGGCGGCTGGCTGGCTGGCTGGCAAAAGAGGTGGCAAGTGTCTATGGGTAGATCTTTGCACCGAAGAATCACAGGGCCCATTATCTTTGTAATGGTGTAAATGTGTGTACATCATGCATGTCAGTAGAATCATAGAGGTTTGTTGTTGCAGTCAGGTGGTTGTTCTTTGAATCTGTGTAGGAAAATGTGCTCCATGAATAATAAAATACAGAAAAATCAGGTTGTCCTGTTCAAACATGCAGATCTTTTATTTAAATATTCCTTTGCGGTCTATTCACTCAGCATAACCCATGTATTATGCTGTTCTCTGAAATACGTTCAATGAATTTCAAACAAAATTGTCAAAAACAACAACCTTGGTTTCTTTGTATGATACACAGAAATAATTACATTTCATTTACAGCACAGATGCATTTTACACAGTCATCAACAGTCATTCACTACCAAACAGCATTTAAATCACCTAAAACATCAAAAGAATGTTTATTTTCCAAATTCAAAATTAATTAATCATTTTGCATAAGTGATATATGGAAATAGGAGACAAGAATAGCCTTCTGAAAAAATCTTGCCAAATTATTTCTTAACCTGTACTTTAAAAATGAAAATAAAAATTTGTAATTGGGGATGTAACTGCTATGCAAATATTGCTGTGTTGCAGTTTTTTTCGTCCATATGAAAAATAAAATTGAAAGGCCAAATTCTTAAACCCGGTGTGATCTCAGTGGAGTCAGTGGGATTGCAGGAGATCTAACTTGGTTCAGGGTTTGTCCCAAATGGTTTTCAGCAACTGCCATTTTATATTAGTTTCCAGATGTAATTAACAAGAAGCATCATGTGACTAAGAAGAAGCTATAATAGATTGTTAATATGAGGGCAATTTTCATATCAGTAATTGCTTCAGCAAACACTAGGAACAAAGCCAGTTTTTTATGGGTAATTATGAGTATAGACTTAAGAAGCAAGTAAAAACTAATGTACTGAACCCAGCTTTACAACATGTAAGAGAGAGGAAATGAAAATAATCGATTTCAGTGGAATTACTTGATATGTTCACTGTAAGTCAGGGAATAATCACTGTGTTGACTTCTTAAAAGAGAATTCAAATTTTGATTCCATTTATAAACATGATAGAAACTTGCCAATTTGCACAAAAGAATGGGAACTGCACTGAAAATTAAACAAGTTTGTGAATAAGTGAACAAATATTAAGAAAACAAATATCACCGATTGCAAATAGACTCTTATTTTGTCGTGTGCAATTTAGTTTTAATTTATGAAAAATAGCATACTAGTGACTATTCTGTAGCATATTTTGTAAAAATAAAATTTCAGCTGTAATTATAGCATTTGTTCTTAAATCTTTTGCTTATAGGGGAGACTACCAACTGATTGTGGGGCGTCAAGAGAGTGTAGATTAGTAAGGTTCTACTTTCATGCTATATTTCCTCTTAATATAAATGTTAAGTTCAGTCAAGAGAGTAGTCAGTAATTGGTACCAGAAAGTTTGAAGCATAGAACATTCAAACTATTAAATAATTTATTGTTTATTACATGTGGTAATGAGCCCTATGATACATTCCTTTTTTGTTATATATATATATATATATATATATATATATATATACAGGGCTCGACAAACCGCTGATTCTACTCGCCCGTGTAGATTTCAGCCGGTCTCTCCGTGCGCCCCATTCACCAGTACTGCGTGCATGTGCACTGCCGGTCTGGCGCATGCGTGGTGCGGGGCTGGTGAGTAGCTCTCGCCGCGGTTTGTCAAGCCCTGTGTGTGTGTGTATGTGTATATATATATATAGCTATGCAGTAATTTCTGCTGATACAGTATTTCTACTATAAACACTATTTCATGTGTATAGCATTTTCAAGATGACAAATCTCTTAACATTCTCATGTTCTATAGTAAAGAAAACTGCAATTCGCAAAAACCTTTTGGTAAGAAAACTGAGTTCTATGAGACAATGAAGCAAAAAGGCATTTTAAAATAGTAAAGTCCTTATATCCATTTATGGGTCTGATCCCACTGCTAAATTTCCAATGAAGTAAATCATAATTTTGCAGAAAAATCTAAAATCTTGAGTTTATCAGTGTATCTTAGGTATAGCCTTGCAAAATATGAATTTCCACAAACATTTTTGGATGCAGGTTTTACAGACAACTAAAAGGAGAGTTTTAGCAAACTGTTTTCACTAAATTTCCTCCATTGTGCAACATAGCCAATATTCTAGATCAGGGGTGGGCAGTAAAACAGTGATGGGTCACAAGGTTTAGTCCCTATTGGGCCCCTGCCACTATACTGTATTTATCTACACCTCCACAGATACAGGTGATTGCAGCTCCCTTTGGCCAGGAGGGGTGATCTGCAGACAGCAGGAGCTGTGATTGCCCGTACCTGTGGAGGCATAGGTAAATATGGGCGTATGGGGGCCTGCCAGGGGCTAAGCCTGGTGGACTGGATCTTCTAGATACTGCAGAAAAACAAAGAGGTTTAAAGCTAAGTGCTATTTGTCACAAAACCCCTTTGTTTTAATTTCCTTTCAAATGGGATTGACACTGTAACTTTACACTAAAAGGCTGGTTCAGGAAATACAAAAGTAAGCACAAAAGTTTAAGCCAATTTTTGCAGTCTTGAAATCTCAAAGAAGAAAGGTGTGTTAGACCAGGTAAATGTACTGCATCATGGAAATAAAATTTATATTGGACAAAAAGAAGTTTGACTGAAAAGTACATTTGTGGGAAACAGTCTTGATTACATGGTTATTTAAAACTTCTCCACATTAGAGAAAACATTTTCCATCCACTGGGTTCATGGTGTAGATGAAGTTGTGCAAAATATTTAAACAAATTAATCCTGATTCCTGATACAACAGGTATACAATGAATTATTGCAGTTGTAGAAGTACCAAGGAAGCAAGATAAAACAATAATAAATGCTGAACTAACTGAACACCTTGAGTTTGCTAATGAGTTTGAGTAAGGAATACTGCATTTTCCAAAGGTAAGTTATTTGTACAACTACCATGGAACATTAACAATCAGCAGTAAGTGCACAGAAATGCCCCTTTCTACAGTAATATTTTAACATGCCTAATCTGAAAAACAACAGAAGTAAATCGAGATCACAGCTCCAAAGAATTTCAGCATGCACTATGGTTGTATTTCTGCCAGTCAGTACAAACATTTCATATGAGCATTTTGTTTTCCCCTTTTTTTAATAGGGAATTTGTCAACAAGTTCATGATTTACCAACAGGAAAAAATGACATTATCAAAATGTTTTTCATTGTTGTTTTGCATTCTGCCGGAACATACTGTCCAAACATGGGGAGGTTTTTTTTGTTTATTTTTTTTAAAAAATTCCCATGGTAAGAAGAAGCATCAATGGGGGACATTTCATTGTGCTCATAGAATAAGTCAAAATGATCAAAGAAGAGTGTTCTGTTTAACCGTTCAGACTCTGTGTAGAAACTCCATTTGGTTGACTGCTTCACACGCTACATTACTGAAACCCAAATGGTTTAGTTTTCTGGACCCCTTCAATCTGTGGCTGCTGTAACACTGACCAAGGGGGTATTGTCTTTTCCGGCTTTCTCCTTCAGAACTCTTCTCGTTGCTAGATCTCAGCTGGCAAATGTCTTTGTTCCAATTGTTTTATAAAGCAGATACTCTGACAATATTTCCTCCTGAATATGCAGAAGATTCTGGCCTGTCATTCCCTTCGGGCGTGGTCACTGGGGGAGTTGGGATGCTGATTATTGCTGTTGTGACGTAAGGCTGCTCACAGTTTAGTTTTACACACTCTTCCATTTTGGCATTTAAACTGGATCGGCTAAAGGGGAAACACATCAATGAGGTAACTGTTTACAATGTTATAAACTTCTCTGCTTACTCAATTCCATTATGCCAGCCATCCACCTTAAAGTCTGGTTTCTTATCAGGTAGGATAACCACAAATACATTGCAAACACAGCCTCTGCTCCTTTGGTCACTGGACATGTACTATGTGGCTGAGGAGGAAAGATTTGTGACTCATAAAACTTAGCTCTCTAACTCCTGATCTACACTAGGGAATAATTTTGAATTAAGATATGCAACTTCAGCTACGTTAATTGCATAGTTTAAGTCAAAGTATCTTAAGTTGAATTTTGGTGCCATCCACTCTTTTGACTAGTCTTACTCCTCAGGGAAGCAGGACTACTGACATAGATGGGAGTGCCCATTCAGTTAAAATTAGCATGTCTTCACTAGACCTGCTAAATAGAACTCTGGAAGATTGACTGTGGTTACTTCAATCTTATTTGTAGTGTAGACATAGCCTTGGTGATTTACACAGGACTGAAAGGGATTTCCTGGGTCATCAAGTCCAGTCTTCAGCTGTCTTAGGCAGGGCCAGATTAAGACATGGGCTAGCCGGGCAGCTGCCCGGGGTGCCACCCTATGGGGGGGGGGCGCCTGATGGCAGCTGTAAGGGGTGTGCAGCGCCCCTTATAACTGCCATCAGGCACTGCGCTCCCGGATCACGGACTGCAGCAGCTCCCAGTGGCCACCCTGCAGCGGTCGCCTGGGGCGGGGACTGCGTTAACCCCTGCAGCGCCGGCTAGCAGCGCCCTTTCTCCCGTAGCCGCTTGGCCCTGAACAGCCAGGCCAGGCCCGGCCCGGCCCGGGCTGCACACCAGCAGCGGTAGCCAGGCTATGCCGGGCCAGGCACATGCGTCCTGCCGCCGCCAGCTCCGCGTGCCCTCCCCCATGCACCGGCACGGGGGCGGGGCCATGCATGCGCCCTTCCCCAACCTGGGGTGCAATTAAACAGTCTGCCCTGGGCGCCGGAATGGCTCGGTCCGGCCCTGTAAGGCAACAGCATCATGTATACCTGGTCATAAATATTCATACATACAATTATCCACTTTCTTTTTTGTTATTGTATTGTATTATTTTCTTCTCTGTAGTTTTGCCAACACTAATGGGTTCTAAAATCATCAGTGAAGTTAAACTCCTGGTAGTTTGTGTCTAACAATTATGAGGTTTTATTTGGATTTTTAGCTCTTTGAAACCAAGGCCCCCTTTTATGTGTGTGCAATTCAGGAAAATCTTGAACGGTACAAAGGGACAAGAGCTGGTCTAAGTGGATTACAGGATGAATAAAGACTAAACTGCTGAGGAACTCTTGCTTCTTATAATTTGCCCAATCGTTTGCCCAGCAACAATTTGTGACAGAGAGCAGGAGTCCTGGTGATAAGGAATCTGGGGCTGAAAGTGTTAGGACGGCACAGCCCTAGGACAGAGTAAAGGACAAAACCTTAACTCTTATCCAAGGGTGGATTTGTGGTGCAGCTTTTAAATGGAATGTAGTCATAGAAATGTGAGAGAATGACCTGCACGCTATTTTTAGGGGGGAGTTGGACATTAAGGCATTAAAAGGGCCAGAGCCTAAAGAAGCAAATTGAAACCAACCTGTATCCTGGCTACAATGTGGTCACTATCCTCACACACATTTTACCCCTTTCAACAATAGGTGGGAGAGTCACAGAAAGTGAATGGGTAAGGAGGAATCCAACTCAGTTCCCCATTACCACAAAAATCCTCTATCCCTCACACACACCCTTCCTCACTTGCCTTCCTATGCTGCCAAAAGAACAGTGGCCTTATGCCCTCCACACCTTTACGAATGTGATACACCTTAGGTGTTCCCAAGAGCATTAATATTGCCAGGCACACTGACCTGCAAGGCCTTGACATGTGGGACTGTTTCATTGCAGGGTAGATTTCTAGGCTGTGCTGCGGCCCAGGCTCTAGGGCCCTGTGAGCTAGGAGGGTCCCAGAGCTCGGGCTGCAAGCTAAGCCCAGAAGTTAACACCACAATGAAAGAGCCCAGCAGCTCAAGCCCCGTGAGCTTGCGTCAGATGGCAGGGACCAGCTGTGAGTTTTGCTTTGTAGTGTAGATTACTGTTCCAGTTTGTTGCACCAACCGATGGGTGCTGGAAAGATTGCAAAAGCGGAGGGGGGCAAGTCTCTGCCCCACTAATCAGACTCCCCCAAGAGCTCTCCCTCCACCAGCCCTTCCTTCTGGAGCCCCTCACTACCCCTTTCCTTAACTTACCCTCTCTGCTGATCCTGCTGCCTGGATCCAGCCAGCCCCTGGCACCAAGAGGAACTGCAGTTTTAGTGGGTGAGAGCTCAGTTGCTAGTATGACACAGAGAGGGCCTTGGTGTTGTCTGGCCAGCTGGGCCAGGGTCCAGCATGTGTCCTCTCAGGCTATGTCTACACTACCAAGTTTTTGTGGAAAAATTGCCATTTTTCCACAAAAACTCATGGAGCATCCACACCTCAAGCGCATTTTTGCGCAAGTAAATAGATCAGAGGGGTATTTGAACAATTGGTAATCCTCATTCTACAAGGCAGAATGCCGTTTTGTACAAGAGCTCTTGCACAAAAAGGCGTGTGTGGTTGGGAAGGGTGGGTTGTTTTGTTTTGTTTTTGTTTTGTTTTGTTTTGTTTGTGCAAGCAGAGGGAAAAGGAAAATGCACAGATGCCCTGGTGGCTATTCTGTCCATAGCAATCACTGCTTACTTGCGAGAGAGCAGCCAGGCAGTCTGGATGCTCTCTTGCGCAAAAATGCATCTCTCTTTCTCTGCAGTGTGGACGCTCTCTTGTGCAAGAAGTTTTTGTGGAAGATCTCTTCTGAAAAAGCTTCTTGCACAAGAAGCCTGCAGTCTAGACCAGTTTTGCTCAACCTTTTTTAATTCGCGACCTCCAGGGCCGGGAAAATTTTGGTTGAGCCAAAAAAAAACAAAACAAAAAACGCTGTCTGGAACATTTTGTTTCAGCCTCTGTAATTTCAAGCACTGGTCCGCTCCCCTGCCACAGGGACATCAGACACCAAGCTGTGAAAACAAAAGCAACTGGCCTGGTGCTGAAACCCGCTCAGGAACACATCCACGACCTCCGCTGGTCTAGACGTAGCCTCAGAGAGCTCTTGAAATGTAAGAGAGCAAGTGTCCTTTGAACCTCTCCCTTCACTGTTTCTGGTGCCTATGTCCCAAATAACACCACATATTGTTGCTACAAAAGGAACAACCAGCATTGCTTTCATGCTGATGGGCATACGTGTGACTTACCAGCTCTGTGTCTAAGGCAGTGCGGTGAGGATGGGAGGAAATCAGCTTTGGGTAGGGATGGGGAATGCAAATGTTTTGCCCTGGCTGGGAGAAGCAGAGGAGGTGACATCCATTAGCTCAGTTGGCACCTCACAATGGCAGCCAGTAGCTGATCACTTGACTGGAACAATATGGGCCAACTAACAATAACTAGCTCACAAAAATGGATGATGAGGAAGGAGTGGGGTGAAGAATCTGTCCAATTCCGAGACCTCATGCAGAGCGGCTGGAAAGACACCTATTCATCCCCATGGTAGGTAATAACAGCTAGGGTCCTGCACACCCTCTAACTTAGTGCTCACTAGCTGTGTAGTAGTTGCTCTATTGGCCTTCCTCTCCTTGCTCCAGCCCCGCCTCCTCAAGTTTGCAATGCACAAGGGAACAGAGCCATCTTCCCCACCATAATCTTTGTGCAGGCCCCTGCTTCCTTCCTCCCTTCTCTTGCATACTAGAAAGTGGGGTTCCAGTGCATGTAGAGCTTTCTTTGGCCATTAAGGAGGTCAGGTGGAAGTATATTGGGGCCACAGCTGAGGGAAATTCACACCTGGTAAGGTTCAGTGACAGCTAAAACTGCACAGCAAGTCAGTAACAGAGCAGAAGTTTCTGTCCCTCACTCTTGGCTCCAGACTTTGTGGGCTGTTGAGCATTATTTATATGATCAGATGAGCAGTGACTCATAGTATGTGGTACAGGCAGTCCCTGGGTTACGTACAAGATAGGGACTGTAGGTTTCTTCTTAAGTTGAATCTGTATGTAAGTCAGAACTGGCGGTCAGTTTCAGCAGCAGCTGACTTGGGGTTCTTAAGGTGGATCTGTATGTAAGTCAGAACTGGCGGTCAGTTTCAGCAGCAGCTGACTTGGGGTTCTTAAGGTGGATCTGTATGTAAGTCAGAACTGGCGGTCAGTTTCAGCAGCAGCTGACTTGGGGTTCTTAAGGTGGATCTGTATGTAAGTCAGAACTGGCGGTCAGTTTCAGCAGCAGCTGACTTGGGGTTCTTAAGGTGGATCTGTATGTAAGTCAGAACTGGCGGTCAGTTTCAGCAGCAGCTGACTTGGGGTTCTTAAGGTGGATCTGTATGTAAGTCAGAACTGGCGGTCAGTTTCAGCAGCAGCTGACTTGGGGTTCTTAAGGTGGATCTGTATGTAAGTCAGAACTGGCGGTCAGTTTCAGCAGCAGCTGACTTGGGGTTCTTAAGGTGGATCTGTATGTAAGTCAGAACTGGCGGTCAGTTTCAGCAGCAGCTGACTTGGGGTTCTTAAGGTGGATCTGTATGTAAGTCAGAACTGGCGGTCAGTTTCAGCAGCAGCTGACTTGGGGTTCTTAAGGTGGATCTGTATGTAAGTCAGAACTGGCGGTCAGTTTCAGCAGCAGCTGACTTGGGGTTCTTAAGGTGGATCTGTATGTAAGTCAGAACTGGCGGTCAGTTTCAGCAGCAGCTGACTTGGGGTTCTTAAGGTGGATCTGTATGTAAGTCAGAACTGGCGGTCAGTTTCAGCAGCAGCTGACTTGGGGTTCTTAAGGTGGATCTGTATGTAAGTCGGACCGGGCGTCCAGATTCAGCCGCTGCTTTGCTCTGACGCGGGACCCGCCGCCGCTGCGGCTTTGCTCCTGATGCCCCTGGTCTGCTGGAGACGTTCCCAGCAGATCAGGGGCACCGGAAGCAGCTTTTCTCGCCCCGGAGGTCGAGGTGGCTGACCGCTGCCTGCGAGCTCTGGGGCGAGAAAGCCCCATTCGTAAGTGCGGATCCGACATAAGTCGGATCCGCGTAAGTTGGGGACTGCCTGTAGTTATAATTATCAGTCAGTTGAGACATGAACCTGAGGGTGGGTTCATGTGTACACAGAGCTGTTGAGAGGAATGTATATCGATTGCAGGGGTGGTTCCCAAGGATAAGAGACACTTAAAAATGAAATTCATTGAAGTGGGAGATGTGCTCCTCCTTGTATGTGTATACTGCTGCTTTTAATTCTTGCATGTTTGTGCTGTGGCTAGAAGGGTGTGCTGGAAAGCTACCTGGTAGACAACAGGTTAGAACCAGGCAGAATTACGCATGAACACCTGACTGGTTCCATATTTGGTCCCCAACCATCCAGGATTGTCCTGGAATCTCCAAGAATTGAAGATTAATCTTTAATGAAAGAGTAGGTCATGTGCTGAGACCTCCAGAAATATGTCCCTCTCCAACTCCTTTGAGGAATAGCAGAAAAAATGATCTCAGCTACAAGTCAAGGAGCTGCTCCTGGCAGCGAGTTTTGCTCTGTATCCTCTGGTGCTACATTTTTTCTAATTTTCCCAATAACTCCCTTAGTCAGGGATTATATTTTTCTTGTTCATTGTATATTTATAGAGAGGATGGATGGTTTTTAAGACTAGGGAACTAGTGGTTCGTGTAAGCATTTGATAAAGAAGGACCAAATCCAAATGGCAGTTGAGAGGCAAAGCTTCTCAGGCTCTGGGCCAGTATTAGGACAAATTATTTATTTCCATCTGCCAATTCAAGACTTAGAGACTTCCTAATAAACTGAAAAAAAGTGCTTCTTAGAATGGACAGTTACCCATTAATTTTAAGGAATGCAACTTACTTATTTGACACAAATTCAAAATAATACCTTGTCACTTAGACCACCTCTTCATTACCAAACAATGGTTTGCCATAGCATTGCATCTGAGATGGCAGTTAAAACTAAAATACCTGTTAGATAGAGATGTCCTCTCCATACATCTGATTTGAATGGTGCTAAGTTCTTGTATGCTGCCTGTGCGGCTGCCATTTATATTGGTGTTTGGGATGCGGAAAGTCTTTTTATGTCGTCGTGAACAACAAGTGCTGGTAACACCTTGTTGGGAAGAGAGAGAGGGGCTGTGGCTTGAGGATCGATTGACTGTGGAGACCTCCATGCAGCTGTCTTCATAAACATGTTCATCCACAAACTCGTGATTCTGGTCCAGAGCAATTCAATGCATGGTAAAAGCACACACACAAAAAGATATGATTATAGTTGAAAGAAAATGTTCATGATGCTGATTGTCAAAATCCACTGTGTTAGGGCCTGTTTAATAACTTAATTTTACACAACCAGAATCTGGAAAAATGACAAGGATTGCAATTTTCAACCCACATCAGGATAGCTAGAATATATTAAAAGTGTCCATACAGATTCAAAATTATCAAACCATTAACTTTAATTTTCAAAAGCTAATGCAAAATATTTTGTAGGATGGCAAAACATAACTCAGATAGTTATATTAAGGGTTACTGTGTAATCTGTAAAATTTCTCTCAGTAAAGAATTATTTTCATTAATAAAAAAATTCAGAAACATTTTTCAGGCTCTTTTAATTCTGCTTATATAAATGCTCTAAATGGGAGTAAGCGCACCCATGATTATGTTTAAATATAGTAAAATAGTACTGACTTTAATTTTTGTATCAGTCTGTGAAATGTCATCTTAAAACAAAGGTGTGAAACAATGACTTGAAACAATACATTTCACAATCCAGGAATAAGGTACTTATCAAAAAGTACTTATCAAAAAGTAACATGTAGCCTTAATTTCAGTTTCCATTAGAGAGGAAGCTGAAATAAATACCAAACATTCTCTCCGGAGGTTACTATTTGCTACATATAAAAGCTTAATATATCCAAATGGATTAATATGATAATGTCTTTAATTCAGCAATTAAATAGTATTTATTCATAGGATCTTTCCTTGAGCCCCACATAGACAGAAATCTTGTAGGCACAACATAGTGAGTGACCTATGGCAAGTCCAACTGATAGTCATTATACTTCGATGCTTTAATTTGTGATTATGAAGCACGACTCACAAAATTGTGATTAGTACAATTTCTCTGTGCATCAAGAAGGGTAAAGTAGTGGTGTAGTGTTCAATAAAAGGAATCATACACTGTAAAATTATATGCAATAGTCTTAAGGTAGAATCCCAGGATGAAATGGATGTTGATGCTCATAATCCCATCATTTTGGATTGAGACAACTTCTGTTTCCACATTTCCAACTGTGGATGCTTTGACATTGGGTTAGGAAACACTGGCTTACAGGCCACATAACTCCATTTACTTCAAACTGGTTGGTTCGTTGCATTTTCATTCACTAGTAGCTAGCCTACACTAGAATTGCTACCATAGTGAAACTGTCCCAATGTAGCTGCGCTGCTGTAGTACTGCTTGGGCAGACACTCTGTGCCAATCAGAGCATGCTCTTCCATCAGCATAATTACTCTACCTTTCTGAGAGGTGATAGCTATGTCATCAGGAGCATATCCCCTGCTACACCATGCAGTCTATACCAGTATTTAGATCGTCGTAGTGTATGTTGGTCAGGGGGTGGCTTATCCATACTCGATGGCTACATCTAGAATGGCATGATTTTCCACAATTCCTTTAATGGAAAAGTTTTCCAGTAAAAGCATTTGCGGAAAAGAGCATCTAGATTGGCATGGACTTTTTGTGGAAAAGCGTCCGTGCCAATCTAGACGCGCTTTTGCGCAAAAAATCCCCGATCGCCATTTTAGCCATCGGGGCTTTTTTGTGCAAAACAGTACTGTGCTGTATACACTGGCCCTCTTGCGCAAATGATTTGCACAAGAGGGCTTTTGCCCAAATGGGAGCAGCATAGTATTTCCACAACAAGCACTGATTTCTTACAGTAGGAAGTCAGTGTCTACATTGGCCCTTTTGCGCAAAAGTCTTTCGGAAAAAGACTTTTGCCCGAACAGGAGCAGCATAGTATTTCCGCAAAAAGCACTGATTTCTTACATGAGATCGTCAGTGCTTTTGCAGAAATTCAAGCGGCCAGTGTAGACAGCTGGCAAGTTTTTCCGCAAAATCAGCTGCTTTTGCGGAAAACCTTGCCAGTCTAGACACAGCCCATGTGGCTTAAACTATGCCCAAGTAAATTATAATGTGTACAAGCCTGAGGATAAGGAAAATTATTTCCTTCCTGAAAGAAGAGTCTACTAACATGCAATGTTGTTCAGATGCCAATAGGTACTCTAAGAATACATTTATGTTTTCCAAAAAGAAACATAAAATAAGCGGAATAAACTAAGTATGATTCATCAGTAAGGTGAGCACCAGTACAGTAATTTTCTAAGGAAGATGAATGTTTGGAACAAATGGAAATAATTTGGACAGAGTACTATTTCTATTTGCTCTCCTTCATAACCTTCCTTGACTCTCATTATACCCAACTGCCATCTTCTGAGGAGAAAAATGGTGAATAAGAAGAATGATTTCAAGTGACTCAAGGAGATAAGTCTTGGTATAACTTCCTTAAAATCTGACTGTACACAGGGCATACATCATTCATAAACAAGACTCCAAATGCAGTTAGAACCTGGATATGGGAGGCAGACAGAGAAATTACTTAATAGCTGTCTTTAGATCATATATACTATAGGAATGAATAGGGTATTCCAGTGTGCTTGCCAAGATCTCTGGTAGTTTTCCAATAAAAAACAGTTTTGTCCTAAAGCTATTATGGAGCTATAAGTTAGTGTCTACACTACCCTCCTAATTCGAACTAGGAGGGTAATGTAGGCATACCGCACTTGCAAATGAAGCCCGGGATTTGAATTTCCCGGGCTTCATTTGCATAAGCGGGGAGCCGCCATTTTTAAAACCCCGCTGGTTCGAACCCCGTGCAGCGCGGCTACACGGGGCTCGAACTATGTAGTTCGGACTAGGCTTCCTATTCCGAACTACCGGTACACCTCGTTCCACCTGGGCTTCATTTGCATTCAAATCCCGGGCTTCATTTGCAAGTGCGATATGCCTACATTACCCCGCTAGTTCGAACTAGCGGGGTAGTGTAGACATACCCTAATAGAGTGATACACTTTTAATATGGACTGGAGATATTTTGAAATCATATAATTGCCTAAACGAATAAATTAAATTATGCATGTCAAGCTTCTAGTACATGGGATATATTAATGTACTGTCATACAATGAACTTCGACATATTGGTTTTAAGATATTAATTTAGGTTAGGACTTCAAGCCTAAAATAATTAAAACTTAAGTACTCTAGATTTCTCCTGTGAGCTGTAAATTCACTGTTGTGTATAAGTTGAAAAGATATTCTCTAAAGTACTTCTCTGAATACCAGTGTTGCCATTACAAAAGTAATTTCAAAGAAAGCTACAGGCCATAACATACCATCCACTGCACTTCTCAGAAAAGATGAAAAGAGAGGAATGGCCTAAAAATGTTAGATGGAGGCTAGAGGAGCCAAAGACGCCTCTGTTGGTTGCTGACAAAATCCTTTTGCATAAACTCTTTTGTGACTATTGTTCACTGCCTTCAAAGGAGGAAGAAAGGCTTAGACAATATGTAGCTAGTTCCATCTCCAGAGTGAATTAACAGCACTCCTCACTCTGTGAGATGAAGATATCCAAACTTACATTTTCTCATTTAATTTTTGGGAAGTCATGACAAATTGAATATATGCTTCTGCTCCTAAGCAATTACGTGTGTGTGTGGTGGGTGTGCACATATCCAGGAAGTCAGGCTCAACAGCCAAGAAACCTGTTGTAGGCAGTGTTATTGCAGCCATATTGATCCCACACTGGATATTAGTGAGACAAGGCGGGTGATTGGACCCATTTCTGTTGGTGAAAGACAAGCTTTTGAGCTTACACAGACCTCTTCTTCAGGTATAGGGAAAAAAACCTGATTGATAAATACAAGGTTTGAAAAGCTTGTTTAATGTATCTATTCAAACTTTGTATTTAGTAATGAGACTGATTTAGTTACCCAGAGCTGAAGAAAAACTCTGGGTAGCTCAAAAGTTTGTCTATCTCACAACAGAAGTTGGTTCAATAAAAGGTATTACCTCACCCACCTAATCTCTCAAGCAAAGCCATTGAAAAGCAAATAAATGTTATGTATATTTCATAAAACAAGAGTAGGCTTGTACTATATATTTTTTGAAGAGTCACTGTTAAAAAAGAAAAAAAGGATAATCTTTTCCATCATTAATATCCTGGGGAGATGGAAAAGCTTCCGGGCCTGATCTAAGTCTCATCCAAGTAAATAGGAGTCTTCCTATTCAGTCTTCTGAGAGTTGGATCAGGACTTTTGCTAAGTTTGCCAATTCAACTGTAAAGTTCAAGTGGAAAGCAAAGTCCAAAGCAGATATCTATGAGGAAGGCTAGTCTACAACACAATGCTACATTGGTGTAGCTGCACTAATGAAACTTTGCTGCTGTAGTGCATCATATGAAGGTGTGTTGGGTCTGTGGGAGAGCGCTTTCTTGTCAGCATAATTACTCCATTTCAGTGAGAAGTGTCAGCTCTCATCGGGTTGGTGTGGACTAGGGATGTGAAGGAGTAGTCAAGTAGTTGACTACCTGATAAGCAGGAGCTTATCGGGTAGCACTATTGACTACTCAATCACTCCTCCCTCTCCCCTGCACTCTTAAAGGGACAGAGAGAAGATGGTGTGCAAAGACATTGGCTTATTCTCAGGACCCCCATCGGGTCTCAGGACAACCCTCACACTGCCATTCTGCATTTTTTAAAGGGACTCAGCAGCCGACCCCTCCCCCATCCCCAACCTCCCTCATGCTGTGCCTCTGCATTTTTAAAAGTGTCAGCCTGTCCACTTGTCTGTCTCAGCACAAGCCAGCTGCCACTGCTGCATCCCTTTTAAAAATGCAGAGGCACAGCATGAGGGAGGTTGGGGATGGGGGAGGGGTCGGCTGCTGAGTCCCTTTTGAAAATGTAGAGGGTAGGCCGATTCCTCTCTGTCCCTTTAAGAGTGCAGAGTGGCAGCCAGGAGTTGTGTTCAGATGCTGCTTAAGCTGGAAGTGAGCGCTTAAAGTGCCCTTCCTTAATGACTAGTTGAGTAGTTGATGGAAATTCTATTGACTATTCGACTAGTAAATTAATTGATACTTAACATCCTTAGTGTGGACAGCTTGAAACTTGTCTTGCTTGGGAATGAGGGAGCTTTTTCACACCCTTGAACAATGTAAATTAAATTGACGTAGGTTGTAGTGTAGAAATGCCCCCAGTTCTACTATGGTATGCCTCAGAAGCATTCCAAAAGGATAAAACTGTAGTAGGGGACATAGATGGTCAGGTGAGTCCTTTGTAATATACATTTAAAGCCAGACAATTTGTGCTATACTTTAAATCAGAAATGAATATTAAAAAAAACAGCATGTAAAAAGCAAAAGCACCTGAAACACGTAACGCATGACACATAAGTAACTACATGACATACAACAACTGGACCATGTTAATTACAAGGCAAGGCTGTGAAGATAAAAATATGAAGTTATACACGGGCATAAATTGTATTTAATTTAATAACATTTCTAATGAGAAATTATTGTGCTCTCTCTCAAACAAGAGCAATAAAACATTTCTAAATATATTTTGTTTTGAACACAGCAGATGCAGCACTGTGTCTTTTAATAAAAGTCCAACATTAAACAATAAAACTAAGACAAAACTTTGCGCAATGTGTCCATTCCTCACAGAGAAGTTACACAATGACTAGAAAATGCCATGTGGCAATTTTTTATCTTGAAAGTCAGTCACATATTTCATAGCATGTTAAATTTGGGGTGGGGAAATGGACCCCGCTTTTTTTGGAAATCTTTGTTTCATAAAAATCAAATACATGATTCTCTAACCTTGTGATTCCATGAATATGATGAACATTGAGCAATGTATGAGAGAAATTTAACATCATTTGCTAAATTTCCAGATGATTAGAAATAGTGCCTATGCATGTGTAGAAAATCTCTGATTTTTTTCTGTTCGAATGCACCTTCATACATTTAGTTTGTAACATGTCAAATGCAGAGATGGGCACCAGCCACATAATTCAGATTTTGATTCTGATTTTCAGCAGCTAAAATTGGGATATTTTAATCTGGAATTCAGGCCCATGTCTGGTCAACATGATCTAAACTCTTTGTCAGGAAATGGCAAAATATTGTATATAGTGATGGCCATTACCAGAGAATTTGTTAGGTGCATCTACATTTTATAAAATCAGAGCTAAATTTGTAAATTGTACCTTAAATGGTGTTGAACAGCTTATTGATAAGATGGGATCATCCACAACATAAGATAAACCCTTCATGCCAATATGGTGATGGGAGAGAAAATACAAGGACAAATATAGATTATGTTAACATTTCTCAATGCGAAATTATTAAATGTACAAAGGTGAAACTCAATATAATTATTTTTTCATGTCTTTAGTTTCCTTAGAGGAAATAATAAACAGGAAAAATGTAAAAATAAAGCAATAATGAACAGGATAACAGAAATGCCTTTGTGACATTATCTGGTTAGAAATATTTTTTATCTGTGAATGAGACTTATAGCTTGCTAATATTCAAAGTCAAGATGGGTCATCAGGCTGACACAACTTTAAGATAAACAAAGGAGTGGTGTGGCTAGCATCACATCCAAAAGCATTGGACTTCCGTAACCCTATGGGTCAGGTACACATTTTGCAGGTAGATGAACCAGAGGTGGTTTCAAAGTCTACAACTAAACTATAGCCGGGATCGACGCTCTGATGATCGATGTACTTGGGGTCAATTTAACAGGTCTAGGGAAAACACACCAAATTGACTGCAGATATCTCTCAACCAACCCTGGCCTGAATGAGAAGAGTAAGGGAAGTCAACGGGAGAATGTCTCCCATCCCCATTGCAATGTAGACACTGCAGACAGTCGATATAAGATATGTCAACTCCAACTATGTTATTCACATAGCTGGAGTTGCATAACTGAGGTCAATTTAATGCGGTAGCCTCCGTGTGAGATTGAATGAGACTCAGACTTACAATTTCAGGATTGTAGTCAAGCACCATAACCACCATAATCCACACCTCATTGTTATTAATACTACTGAATTGTAATTTTGTTTTCATTTAACATTCATAATGGCTGTATAGTTACCAAATGGCTGTATAGTTACCAAATATTAAGCAGCAAACACATGTGCTCAGTCATCCATTTCTGACTGCTTGGAAATTTTTAATCAAAGCAGGTGTTCTTTGGTGATTGTGAATTATATCACTTATGCCTGTAAGGGGCTAACTGTCAGAAATGAGGCTAAACAATTCTGTAGCATGGCGCCTGTAGCTTAAATCAGAGGATGAAGTTGTGGAATAAATTCTGCATGCTCTCCACTTGCACTTGCTTAAATTGGAGGTGAGTGGCCACATTGCAGGAAGTACTCAGCAATTTGTAAGGTCGAGCCTGAGGACCCAGAGCATCAACCCTTGCTCAGGAGAAAACTTGCATTGCCTGAATTTGGAATTTCTCATGAGATGGAGTCCTAGAAACTTTACTGTAGCAAAGTGTATAAACATGCAAATAATAAACTCTCTCTCCCTGTATATATATATCAATCCAGAGTCTCAGCTGGTGCCTTTTGGGATGCTCCATTAAGGTTAATGTCCTGATGTGAGCTGAGGATCTGAACTATGATCTTTAAACACTACTATGTACATTGCATAAAAATGAACTAGAAAATTTCTACATAATCCCAATCTATAAAATAGCATTTGATCTGAGGTAAGGACTATAAAATGAGGAATTGGAGAAATAAGCTACTACAAAACCAAAATTAGGTTTAAAAAGAGACAATGGTTTCATTTCCTTACCGTGGTTTTTTCCAGACAGTGAAGCAGGTGGTGGTGCTGTGTTTCAAAGGAGGAGCCAGATTTACTAAGAAAGGTCTGTTTTTCCTCATTGGTAGACTGTAAATACATAGAATTCTATATTATTTTCACTTTCAGAGCTTTATCAGGGCAATAATTTAGCATGAGCATGATGACTTTTTTGTTTATTAAACAAAATATTTTTTCTTCTTTCTTTGCAACCCTTCTTTTGTATCTCAAAACTTAGCATTTCCACTTGAGCATAAAAATGTATAGCTGGAATGGGCTTCAAGAAATCATCAAGTCCAGCCCCTTGCGCTCAGGTAGGACCAAGTAAATCTAGACCGTCGCTGGCATACATTTGTCCAATTTGTTCATTAAAACCTCCGGTGACAGGGCCTCCACTCCCATTCTTGGGGGTCTATTCCAGTGGTTAACTAGCCTTAGAAAGTTTTTCCTAATGTCTAACCTAAATCTACCTTGATGCAGATTAAGCCCATTACTTCTTTGTTCTGTCTTCAGTGGACGTGGAGAACAATTGATCATTGTCTTTATAATAGTCCTTAACATATTTGAAGACTGCTATCAGGTTCCTTTTCAGTCTTTTATTCTCAAGCCTAAAAATTCCCAGTTTTTTAACCTTTCCCCATAGATCATGCTTGCTAATATTTTTGTCATTTTTGTTGCTGTCCTCTAGACTCTCTCGAATTTATCCACATCATCGCTAAAGTGTGGTGCACAGAGCTGGACACAGAACTAGCTTAGGCCTTTTGTGTATAGTTAAAACAATGCTTCTTATAAATGGAAACATCACATAAAGATGCTGAGAGTAAAATCAACACATTCTTAAACAGTCATAAATCTAACTCATGGCGAAAAATTTCCCCTGTGAAATGGGTCTTTTAAAAAAGAAATCGCAAATAGCTGTCTTGTTTCTTCTTAATATTGTTTAATATTGCTGAAGAATTTGTGGTATTGCTCTTTATAAACAAATTCATGTCACTGAATAATCCCAACTTGCAGAGTTTAAAAAATGTACAGCAGATGTTACAGACATAAAATGAAGAATTATGTAGAAAATATCTCCTGGATTAGTAAATGGTTTCATCATTATTCATTAGAGGAAAGTAAACTAAATTGGGATGAAAGGTCAGAAATGGAGATGGGCATAAAACATCCTCTAGGCCCTAACGCTCTAGATTTCGTATAAAATCCATATTTATATTTAAGTTGCTTGAGCCAATTTATAGTTGAAATGTTATTTCTCAGACCATAAAAAAGATCAGATCCAGGTCCACATTTTTGCAAAATTTGAGAATGCTGAGATGCGGGGTTTTGGTTTGGTTCAGAAAGATAGTGATAACTATGGATTTTTTATTTGAACCAATCTTCAGTTTAAGTTTGGAATGTATTTGAATCCAGATTTTGTGTACCAAAAGTTATTTTATACTCTGTCATTCAAATTTGTAATCTTTCTTAACAATTGTTGTTCAATTTATCCTTCTTTAACCTACTTCTATTGGTAGTTACTTACAGAGTCAGATTGATTAGTCCTGATGCTAAGCAGAATAAATAGCAGCTGTGCTATTATTAAGCAGTTATTCTGGAGCTGGATTACATAAATATATTACCTGAAGCTGGTTACTCAATAAGCCATTTCGTTTGCTCTGCATGTAAGCATTAGCAGTCCCGCTCTTTGCTGCTCGAATTCTAGCAAGTCTGGCTTTCTGTGCAAAGAAGGAAAAAAAAAGAAATGGTGGCACTTCTACTTGTATCTATTAGTCTGTTTATAGAAAGCAGCTAATTAGAATCTGCTGTTTACGAATACTGATGTCAGAATCACCAAAGAGATGGTCATTCAAGTGCAACAAATCAAAGGAGCGTTTTCCCAGTTAAACAGCAAATTCGTTGGCTGAATTAGAGAAAGAAACAAAAGCTGCTAATTAGAACAATAGTTTGGATAAACATTTCTACATTGACTAACAATATTAGGCAAGTAGTATTTTTCTGTGGTAGTGATTATGTCACCTTTATATCTGTCTTACCCCTCAGGAATATTGCTTCCATCTCATTGCATGTAATTTCTAATCCTTCAGTTATAAATTCCTCAAAAGAAATGTTAATGGTCCAAAGGAACATTATATTTCAACTGCTATGAGCTATGAAGTACCTCCATGGTTCCTCAGAGCATTCTGACTCTCAGAGAAACACACATAAACAGCATGAGATAGAGAGGCCTCGGTACACAAGGAAGTTCAATTTCTGAGTTCCTTATACACGTTTCTAAAGCCTTCTACTGGCTGCAAAGCATTTGTTAAATCTTGTTTGCTTACTATGGGGGCTGTGCCCATAGTTCACTATGCTTGCCAACCTGCCATCAGGAAAAACTTTTTTAAATTTAGAGATTTATATAAAGATACTTAATACGAATCACCACTTGTTCCAACTGAAGTATTCTCTAGAAATTTTAAACAACAAATTGTTGAGAGAGGATGTCCAGATTAGTTAATTTGTGTAGATGGCAGGGCACCTCTTTTGTCTCAGCAGGCTCAGCAATTTCCTTTCTGAGCAGTGGGGGGTGGAGGTGGGAGAGGGGGAGAGAGGAGGGCCACCTGGAGTAAATCAGTCTTACTCTGAAGAGTTTGTATTCCTTACTTGACTTTTTATTCTTAAGTATTTACAAGATGGGCCTCTGAGTGGCCTAAGAAATAGTCTTAAACCAAACAGAAAGAGAATACCTTTCCCTCCCTTCCCCCATACTGGGATATTGCTTCATTATGCTGACCTCTGGATTAGAGCCCTGCAAATCCATGGATATCCACTGTATATCCATGGGTATCCACATCCATGGATGTGCATGCAGATATCCATGATTCATTTTTATGTATGAATTCTTTTCTTCCTGTTGCAATTTATCCTCCATCTCTCCTCATCTCTCTCACTAGGAAAGTTGGGGTTTAAAGACCCTTAATTGGCCTCAGGACATACTTGTTGACCTGAGAGAAACTGTTTTTAGTTCATGCAGAAAAGGGCCTTCATCATTCTATGGCAGATGTATTTGCCTTCCACCATTCTCTGGTAAGTGTCCAGAGGACGTGCTGCTCTGTGAGTAGAGAATGATGGATGGAAGATGATAGGGAAGCTCAAAGAAATTTCTGGTAAAATTGTCAGCTTCAACTCAAGTCACATAATGTAGACTGAACAATGGGAAACCATAACAGAGGTGACACCCTGGCTGCATCTAGACTGGCAAGTTTTTCCGCAAAAGTGGCCGCTTTTGTGGAAAAACTTGCCAGCTGTCTACACTGGCCGCTTGATTTTGCGCAAAAGCACTGACGTTCTACTGTCCGAAATCAGTGCTTCTTGCGCAAATGCTTTGACGTTCCCATTCGGGCAAAAGCCCTTTTCTGGAAATGCTTTTGCACAAAAGGGCCAGAGTAGACAGCTGAAAACTGTTTTGTGCAAAAAAGCCCCGATGGCGAAAATGGCGATCGGGGCTTTCTTGTGCAAAACCGCGTCTAGATTGGCACGGACGCTTTTCTGCAAAAAGTGCTTTTGCGGAAAAGCGTCCATGCCAATCTAGATGCTCTTTTCCTCAAATGCTTTTAATGGAAAAACTTTTCCATTAAAAGCATTTGCAGAAAATCATGCCAGTCTAGACATAGCCCCCTGTGTGTAAAGAAAAGTCTTTGGAGATCAATAATAATAGGAAACAGAAGTTGCAGAAGAGGCTTTTGTTGACTTCCTGGAAAGTGTGGGGTCAATCAGTACAATTCCTTCAGGAATTTTTAAGGCTGATTCCCTGTATATCATAGAAAGCGTTACCCTGTCCTCATGCTTAATCCACAAATTCCTGGTTCCCTAAAGCCAAGTGCAGAGCAATGATTTAGCAAATTTAAACTTCAGTAGCAGGATACAAGCTCAAGTAAAGAGCTCTGAGCTATTGCAGAAGAAAGGAGAGTCAAGTTCTATGTTTTGTTTTGAGGCAATAAGACTTTTTCCTTCTTAATAATTACTCAGTTGAATATATGTTTGTATTACAATTGTAAAAAAGCCTGCTCTGAACCTGTGAACTGGGACAGGAAGATTTGCTCTGCTGGCGCATCCGGGAGGACTATCAAAAATTAAGTGGGCTATTGTAGGACAAACGCTTTATTGATTGTCCCCATACATCTATGGAGAAGTATGTGCAGAAGGCCTGATCCCATTGCTTTGAATGTGGAAGAGGGAAATAAAAATAGTTAACATGAAGATTTATCATCTCTTTGCTGTTTGCATTCTTCCAAGGGCTAGCACTGAGAAATAGGAAGCAGAGATCCCCAGGGTTGACCTGGGTTAAGCCTTAAAATGTTTTCGGTGCTGACAGATCAATACATATCTGTCATCTTTTGAATCACAGATTACATATATGAATGCTTTCTTTAATTTGTAGATAAATATTTTTTTCTTTTTCCTAGTTAATCAACATTTCATTAATTACATCACTGGCTACATGCATTGTCTTTGGAGTGAGATCTAAGATATATATTGATCTTGGGTGAGTGACTGGTCTCTGGATATGGAAAGCAACCTGAATATTTTGTGATTTTTAGTGTAAGTTACCATTTATTACTATACCCAGCTTTCCTGAGTAGCAAGAGAGACTGGAGTTCCAATTGGGACTGTCTGTGACTCTATGGCAAGACTGTTACAGTGATCTGGGTGTTCACATTTGTTACTGGGTTAGTGAAATCAAATGATAGAACATAACACCAGCCTTGGATGTCTGCTCTGATTTTGACAATCTGTAGTCTCACTTATCTACCATTGTAGACAGTGTAACAACAGATTCATAGACTTTTTGTGTTCCTATTCCATTTTTTTTATCAAAATCTCAAAAAATTCCTTAGGACATATGAAAAGGCTGTGTCCTATCTTTTATTACAATGTTGCTGCCTTTTTGGAATACTGTTTTGTCTTACCATTTACAGCACCCAGAAATCAGTTTTCAAGAGAGACTTACGTAGGAATCTAAACTCCACGCAATATGAGCAGGGGGGGGGGGAGTAAAATCTGGTGGAACCTGGCCATGCAGAGGGGAAGAGAAGAAATGGTTTGCAACATATTCCTTTCCATACTCTGGTCCCCTCCAGGGGCATACCACATCGTAATTCCCCTGGAATCTAGTGTCCTTATATTTGGGAGGAGAGAAGTTAGAGCAGGGTGCATGATTTTCTCAATACCACAAATTAAAAATTATTTCTTGCAGCCGGAGAAAGAAGAAAGAGGAAATTATTCAAATGTACCCTGCATGGAACAATCATATTATGGCTATTTAGGCTTAAAGAGGATCTGTACCAATACTACAGAGTAAAATTATGGGTTCAAATTTTTACAGGTTGAACCTCTCTGAACTAGGACTCCCTGGTCCGGCAACATGTAGGAAGGAGCCCTGTGGGGGCTGTGAACCCAGCCAGGCTTGCTGCAGGGAGACCAATGCCTGGGAATCCTGCTGTGGGAGTCCAGCTTGAGTTACATTATTTAAACCTTAGAGCACTGCTGCGAGGTAGGTAAGTGGTATGGTTTCCATTTTACTGGTGAGCTTACTCTGTGACAGAACCAGGAACCAGATATCCTGTCTTTCAGTCTAACATTTTAACCTCTAGAAAAGGCTCCTTTCAGGGGGCCTGAAGTGAACATAAGTCTGTTCATTGTGTTTAATGGGTTTCAGATCAGGCCCTAAAAGATAACTAGCTCACTGCTCCTGGTGTCTTCATATGCTCCCCACAACTGAATAAGGCTCAGGTGAGCGAAAGAATTGTAAGCAATGTACATTAGGCAAAACATTTTCATGGAGGAGGCTGGAAATTTGCATTGTCTAAGATAAAGCTGCAAAATTATGAGAATGGAAGATATGCTTATTCAAGATCAGATCTATAAATTGCTTGTTACTAGTGTAGATAAAATCCAAAATAAAATCAAAGTTTCACTCCAAAACCCGATGCCCTTATTTCTTCCACACTTGTGTGTCTTGGGAAAAAATAGGGGAGAGTGTCCTTGTTATTAAACCAAAACAAAAAACCTACAACCAAGGACATAAAAATTACATACATTTGTGATGATAGGGTTTTGCTTTTTATAACAGAGATGTATTCACAGGTGTTTATGGGTAAAGGGATTATGGCAGGGGAATGCCCACTTTTGGTAGTTTTGCATTCTGCAGGAGGGATTTGGTAACTAGCACTCCTATGTGTAAAATAAAATAATATAATAACAACAATAACAATAGTATTAATAATAACAACAATAATAATAATATTTCATAGCTTCTAGACTTCACCTCTATTACAATGTACTCTGAGAGAACTGCTTGTTTAAATCACCCAGATCCCGTGTAAAGGCACCTTTTAAAATACCAGATCTTTTCGATCTTTGAAGGAGAATAGCAGGCTAAAACATTAAAAACTAATCCTTCATCTGTGTTCCCATTCTTCGTCAGGGCAATGGACTTCCTGCTGCCAAACTCAATCTGTCTGGGAGACATGAAGCAAAATATATATTGTTTGCCAAGCAGTATTTGAGAACATTTTTAAGTGGTATGGGATTGGCAAGTGAAAGCCTGTGTGAAAAGATTTGGAGCACAGCGGTTCACAGCATGTATTCTGTATGATGAAGGAACTGAGAGAAGTAAGAGGTGACTGCCATATAAATGAGTGGGTCACACACAAAAAAGAAGGGATCATACACT